TATTTTATTCTTTTTTGGGCAATTATAAATGGAGTTGTTTTCTTAATTTCTCTTTCAGCTACTTCACTATCAGTGTATAGAACTGTTACCAATTTCTGGGTATTAATTTTGTATCCTTAAACTTTATTGAGTTTATTTATTAGTTCTAATAGTTTTTTTGTAAAGTCTTTAGGGTCTTCTGTCTATAGTATCATGTCATCTGCAAATGACAGTTTAACTTCTTCCTTACTGATATGGATGCCTTTTATTTCTTTTTCTTGTTTGATTGCTTTAGCTAGGATGTCTAACACTATGCTGTAGTAGCAGAAAAATAGAACGAAAGGACATCCTTATCTTGTTCCTGATCTAGGAAACGCTCTCAGTTTTTCACCATTGAGTATGATATCAACTGTGGCTTTTTTTCATAGATGGCCTTATTATGTTGAAGTGTGTTCCCTCTAAAACCACTTTGTGGGAAGTTTTTTTTTTAACATGAATAGATGTAAAATTTTGTTAAATGCTTTTTCTGCATGTACTGAGATAATCATATGATGTGGTATATCATGTTGATTGATTTGCAAATACTGAACCATCCTTGCATCCCCATAATAAATCCCACTTGGTAGCAGTGAATGATCCTTTTAATGTATTGTTGGATGTGGTTTGCTAGTATTTTACTGAGGATTTTTTGCAATTATGTTCATTCAGAATTTTGACCTGTAACTATCTTTCTTTCTGTCTCCCTCTCTCCTTCCTTCCTTTCTTCCTCCCTCCTTCCTTCCTTGCTTCCTCCTTTCCTTCCTCCCTTCCTTTCTGTGTGTACATATTTGTCTGGTTTGTTATCATGGTAATACTGGCCTTGTGGAATGAATTTAGAAGCTTTCCTTCCTCTTCTATTTTTTTTTTTTTTAAGTTTGGGAAGAATAAGTATTAACTCTTTTTTAAATGCTGGGTAGAAGTCACCTGTGAATCCATCTGGTCCCAGACTTTTATGTTTTGGTAGGCACTGATTCAATTTTGTTACTAGTAACTGGTCTGTTAGGACTTTCTACTTCTTCCTGATTCAGTTTGGAAGATTGTATGTTACTAGCAATTCACCCATTTCTTCTATAGTGTCCAATTTTGGGAGATAATTTTTCATATTATTCTCTTATCATCTTTTATATTTCTAGAGTCAGTTATTACTTCTCCTTCATTTCTGGTTGTATTTATTTGGGCATTTTCTCTTTTTTTCTTCATGCATCTGGCTGAGGGCTTATCAATTTTGTTTCTTTTCAAAGAACAAGCTCCTGCATTCATTGATCTGTTCTATTGTTTTTTGTTTTTGTTTTAGTCTCTATAAAATTTATTTCTGCTTGGGCGCCTGGGTGGCTCAGTGGGTTAAGCCACTGCCTTTGGCTCAGGTCATGATCTCAGGGTCCTGGGATCGAGCCCCGCATCGGGCTCTCTGCTCAGCAGGGAGCCTGCTTCCTCCTCTCTCTCTGCCTGCCTCTCTGTCTGCTTGTGATCTCTGTCTGTCAAATAAATAAATAAAATCTTTAAGAAAAAAATTTATTTCTGCTCTGAACTTTATTTTTTCCTTCTTTCTACTCATCTTGGGCTTTGTTTGTTCTTTTTCTAGTTACTTTGGGATTAAGATTAGATAATTTATTTGAGTTTTTTCTTGTTTCTCCAGGTAGACCTCTACACTTTATATTTCACTCTTAGAACTACTTGTCTTAAAGGTTTGGAACCATTATGTTTTCATTTTCTTGTGTCTCTATATAATTTTTGATTTCCCCTTTGATTTCTTTGTTGACTCACTGGTTGTTTTATATTATACTGTCTAGTCTCCACATGTTTTGGGGGTTTATTTCCCAGTTTTTTTCTTGTGAATCATATCTAGTTTTATATTGTTGTGGTCAGGAAAGACGCCTAGTATGATTTCAACCTTCTTAAATTTACTAAGACTTGCTTTCTGGCCTAATATGCAATCTGTTCCCAAGAATATTCCATGAACACTTGAAAAGAATATATATATTCTCTTGTTTGGATGAAATGTTTTGTATGTATCTGTTATGTTCATCTGGTGTAATGTGTCATTCAAAGACACCATTTCCTTATTGATTTTCTGTCTGGATGATCTATCCATTGATTTAAATGGGTTGTTAAAAGTCCCATAGTATTATTGTACTACTATCTTTATGTCCATTAATATATGCTTTATGTACTTAGGTGCTTCAATATTGGATATATAAATATTTACAACTGTTATATTCTCTCACTGGATTTATCCCTTTATCATTATGTAATGCCTTTCTTTGTCTCTTGTTACAGTCTTTGTTTTAAAGATTATTTTGTCTGATTGAAGTGTTGCTGCCCTGGCCTTTTTTTATTTACATGTGCATGGTAAATATTTTTCTATCCCTTCATTTTCAGTCTGTATATGTCTTTAGGTCTGAGATGAGTCTTACAGGCAGCATATAGATTGGTTTTGTTCATTTAATCCATTCTGTCACCCTGTGTCTTTTGATTGGAGCCTTTAGGAAAAGGCTAATATACTTAATATCTAATGAACCTAGAGAGGGAGGGTAAAGATGAAAAATGGGGAAAAAGCATGAAAGGAAAATTCACACACACACACACACACACACACAGAAAACAAAAATGGCTCTCAAACATATGAAAATGTTAAACTCACAGATAATAAAACACAGATTAAAATAACACTGAGATATCATTTCTCACCTATTAGGGTAGAAAAATTTAAAAATTTTAAAATATGACAATATATTTTGTTGGTGAGGATATGAGGAAACAAGCACTGTAATACTTTGCTGGTGGAAATGCAAACAGGTTTAATCTTTCTGGAGGAAAATTTGGCAATATTCGACAAAACTATAAATCCACTTACCTTTTGACTCAGTCATCCTAATTCTGAGAATCTACCTTGAAGATATTCCATCAATAATATGAAAGATATATATAATAAATTTATTCATTAACACATTATTTGTAGTGGCAAAATATTGGGGGAAAAACCCCTGCACACCCTATTCGTAAAAAGAGCAGTTAAATAAACAAAAGTGCATCCATACAGTGGAGTATGTAGCTATCAAAAAAAAAAATGAGGAAGATCTCTATAAGATCTGCAGTGATTTCTAGTACCTACTATTATGTGGATGGAAAAAAACAAAATAAAAAGTATATCTATATGTATGCTAAGCTCCATGTAAGAAATAAGAAGATGTAAGAAAATACATACAAAAGAAATATAAGAAGGATAAACCATAAACTAAAGAGACTAGTTACTTATAATGGTTGGATGGGAAAGGTGTAGAAAGAAGAGGGGAATTGGATCAGAGTAGCAGGAAGGAGGAAGTGATATTTTCTGAGAATATACATATTTCTTATAGCTTTGACTCTCAGAACCACAACAATGTTTCACACACCTTCACATAGCCCCTTCTCTCTGAATAAAGAAACAAACAAACAAACAAACAACAAATAGGATGGGGAATGAAAAACTGAATCCAACACTAACAAATCAATCTAAGTATATTCCAAGTGAATACCAACTGTACTGCAAGGGGAAGGGAAGAAAAGAACTAACCTGTATATATAGCTTCGGAAAACATTATTTTAATTTGTAATAGTAATAACAAGAGTAATAGTAATAACAAACAGAACTGTACAAAAATGCTATAATCTATTTAGTTAGTGTGTTTCTCAAAGGGATCTGGGTTAACAATTCTGAAACTTTTTTATGTGTATACTAGAATTCTATGTATATGTAAATAAATAATGAAAGTATTGGACTTGGACACATAAAATAAATATTCATGACTTCATACTGACATAAACAACTGAATAAATAGGGCAGAAAAGAGATAGTTCTTTTACAGTAGAATTCCAATTAGTAAATGTAGCAGCAAAGTGTGAAATGGAAAATCACCATTACATGAACACCAGAGTAATAAATGTCACAAACTCCTCTGATGACTACTAATGCCAGTGAATGAAAACTTGAGAAGAAACAGAATTTACAGGGTCTCAAACTATCTTTTCTATATATCTGTTAACACAAAGGTCAAGTAGTAACTTAACCATGCAAGAAACCAAAGACACTATGTTAATCCAATGATGAAATTTAGTATCACCAGTAATGAAATATACTGACACCAAGAACTTCATATGATGTACTAAAAAGGGTATAACATCATTTCTGCAGCATTCTTTTAAAAAATGAATAAAGTCATTCCAATCATGAGGAGATATTAGACAAATTCCATTTGAGGGATGTTCCACAAAATACCTGATCAGAAATCTTCAAAAGTGTCAAGACTATGAAAGACAAAGAAAGACTGAGAAACTGTCACAGACTATAGTAGATTAAAGAAGAAATAACAACCAGATGCAATGTTGGATCCTGAAACACAAGAAAAGACACTGGTGGAAAAACTGGTGAAATGTGAATAAAGTCTGTAGCTTCATTAGTAGTTTTATGCCATTGTTAATTTTCTGATTCTGATCATTGTACTCATGTTATATAAGACAGCATTAGGGCAAGCTGGGTGAAAGATATATAGGAACTCTCTGTACTATTTTTGCACCTTTTATGCAGTCTAAAGTTAGTTCAAAATAAAAGTTATAAAAAAGGAGATCCTTATGTGCTTAAGCTACTACTAGTCAGATATTATTTGTAGCCAAAGGTAATCTTAATTGATGAATTTAGCTTATAAATAGTTTTTAAAAATTAGGGGCACCTGGGTGGCTCAGAGGGCTAGGCCTCTGCCTTCGGCTCGGGTCATGATCTTGGGGTCCTGTGATCGAGCCCCACATCGGGCTCTCTGCTCGGCGGGGAGCCTGCTTCTTCCTCTCTCTCTGCCTGCCTGCTTGTGATCTCTCTCTCTCTGTCAAATGGATAAATAAAATCTTTTTTAAAAAAAAAATAAAATAAAAATAAATAAAAATTACTTTTTTTCCAACATAGATGAGGGGGTTTCCCCTGTGACATGAGAAAAAAGAATGTGAAAACTCACCTAAAATTGCAGAGAGGTTTGAAAACTGTGGTACCTTCTCTATTGCTACTGCTGTACTGGTATCCAGAAGAGTGGAATTTTTGCATCGTGTACGTTCTTCCAACTTGGGACATTCCCAATCTAAAACAGCAGGAGGAAATGGCACACAACTTGGACAGTGTACAAATAGTAGGTTATCTCCCTGAGCCCCAACTTAGGTTCCCATACCAGCTTAGGTTCCCCATACCAAGCTGTGGTAATTAAATATTTTGAGTAAGACAGATAAAAAAGACAAGCCTTGATGGCATTAGGATAATAAATAATCTTTGGCCCATTTCAGTGCTATAACCTATTTTCTTTCATAGATTTTTGCCCCATAAAGATTATTGACCTAAGGGACAGATGGCATACACAGGAGGTTCCTCTTAATATTTTATGTGTAAATTATACCTAGGTCCCATTAAATATCGTATCACTAAATAACATACTAGTATCACTTGATTTTAAGCTTTCCATTGAATTCCCGCTATGGAAGGATGAGGTTATTCTCTCTTATGTCGTACCCACCTTTCTCACAATTCCCACAATTCATTATATTGCATATGTAGTTAGATCAATATTCGGTGTAGACATTATGATGATAAGCTGCTATAAAAATGTTATTTACTCTTGCGGTATACCGTAACAACCATTTCTCCTCCCCACTCCCCAGAGTCAATAAGTCTTTTTGTTTTAATTTTCTCTGTATTTTTCATCGATTTAATCACAAACTCTTTCAAATTCTATAAACCCATTCTTTTTATCCCATTCTCTAGTGTTCTGAAGTTGCATAATGCTCTATCTTGGTGTTTTTTATCTATTGTGCTAGGTACACTGTGGCCCTTTTAACACAGAAATCATACTCTTTAGCTCTAGGAAATGCTCTTGAATTATAACATTTATAATTTTCTTCCCTGTGTTTCTTCCATTATCTTTGTCTATAACTCCTTTTATTTGATATTAGATTTTATATACTCTTCCTCTGATCTTTTTTTCCCTCTAAACTGCAATCTTTTTTCTTTATTTTCCTCCTGACTCTTCTCTCCTCAACCCTAACTTCTAATCCTTCTACCAAGTTTTTCACTGTTACTGCATTTGTCATTGGAATATTGCTTTTTATAGCACCCTACTTTTATTTAATGGACACAATGTACAGTTTATGTCAATTAGACTATTTTTTTAACATTTTTTTTCTCCTTGTGTTTCTATTTCTGCATGGTTCCTTTTCTTACTTTTTAATTTTTTGTTCTATTCTGGTAGGAACATTCAACATGAATCTTCCCTCTCAAGTTTTTAAGTTTACAATAGAGTATTTTTAACTATATAGCACAGTGTTGTTGTTTAGGAGATCTCTAGAACCTATTCATCTTACTAAACTGACACTAATACCTGTTGAATAGCAACTTCCCATATCTATCTCATCCTAGGCCCTGGCAACCAACATTCTACTCTCTACTATGAATTTGACTATTTTAGATATCTCATGCAAAGAGAATGATACAGTACTTATCTTTCTGTGACTGATTTATTTCACTAAGTGTGACATTCTCAAAATTTATCCATGTTGTTGCATTTGGAAGTCTTTCCCTTTATTAAGGCTGAATACTATTTCATCATATGTATATACTTTGAGTAAAGAACCAGAAGTGGGTTGGTGGATCATATGGTAGTACTATTTTTAATTTTTTGAGGAACCTCCGCACTGTTTTTCATAGCAGCTACACCATTTACAATCCCAACAACATCATACAGGGGTACTCATTTCTCCATATTCTTATCAACACTTGCTTTACTATTATTATTATTATTATCATCATCACTATCATCCTAACAGGTGTAAGGTGAGATCTCATTGTGGCTTTAATTAGCATACCCCTGAAAATTGGTGATGTTGAGCATCTTCTCATATACCTGTCGACCATCTGTTTGCTTGGTTTTAGTAATTTTTTTTTAAAGAATTTATTTATTTATTTGACAGAGAGATCACAAGTAGTCAGAGAGGCAGGCAGAGAGAGAGAGGAGGAAGCAGGCTCTCCGCAGAGCAGAGCCCGATGTGGGACTCGATCCCAGGACTCTGAGATCATGACCTGAGTCGAAGGCAGAGGCTTAACCCACTGAGCCACCCAGGCGCCCCGGTTTTAGTAATTTTTTAAAAAGATTTTATTTATTTATTTGTCAGAGAAAAAGAACATAATTATGGGGAACCAGAGGGAGAAGCAGACTCCCCATGGAGCAAGGAGCATGGTGCAGGACTTGATTCTAGAACCGTGGGATCATGAGCTAGCCAAGGGCAGACACTTAACTGACTGAGCCACCCAGACTTCACCTGTTGGCCATTTGTATGTCCCTTTTGGGGAAATGTCTATTCAAGTCCTTCATCCATTATGTAATTGGGTTATTTGTTGTTTTTTTCCTACTGAGTTGCAGGAGTTTCTTACAGATTTAGATATCAATCTCATCAGATATGTAGTTTGCAAACATTTCTCCCTTTTTGTATGTTGTCTTTTTGTTCTGTTGTTTTCCTGTGTAGCTTCTTAGTTTTATGTAGTCCCACTTGACTATTTGAGGTTTTGTTGACCGTGCTTTTGGTGTCATATCTAAGAAATTACTGTCAAGATCAATATCATCTAGATTTACCCGTGTGTTTTCTTCTAGGAGTTTTATAGTTTCTGGTCTTATGTTTAAGTCTTTAGTGCATTTTGGGTTGGTTTTTCTACATGATGTAAGGTAATGGCCTGATTTCATCCTTTCATATGTGGAAGTCCTGTGTTCCCAACATAATTTATTGAAGAGACTATTCTTTCCCCAATGTTTATTCTTGTCACTCTTCATTTAAAATCAAGAAGACTGTATAAGCATGGATTCATTTCTGGGCTCTCCATTCCATTCACCTATATGTCTATCTATTTGCCAGTACCATGTTTTTCAATTGCTGTAGTTTTGTAATACATTTTGAAATTAAAAAGTGTTGAATTTAGGGGTGACTGGGTGGATCAGTGGGTTAAAGCCTCTGCCTTCAGCTCAGGTCATGATCCCAGGGTCCTGGGATCGAGCCCCACATTGGGCTCTCTGCTTGGCAGAGAGCTTCCTCTTCTCCCTCTGCCTGCCTCTCTGCCTACTTGTGATCTCTGTCAAATAAATAAATAAAATCCTTTTTTTAAAAAAGTGTTGAATTTATGTGTAGATGTTTAATTCATTATTAAAAGTGGAAGTAATGAAGTCTCCATTACCATATAAATGTCCATTTATGCCTTTAGGTCTATCAGTGTTGATTATGTTAGGTACTCTGATGCTGAGTGCCTATTTATTTATTATCATAATATGTTCCAGATTAATTGACCCTTTTATCATTATATCATGTCTTTGTCTCTAGTGATAGTTTTTGATGTAAAGTCTGTTTTAGCTGATATAAGTAGAGCCACTCCTGCTCTCTTTTGGTTATCATTTGCACAGAATATCTTTTCCCATTGCTCCACTTTAAGACCATGTGTGTCCTAAAATGTAAAAAGAGTCTTTTGTAGACAGCATATAGTTGGACCTTGGTTTTTTTTTAATCCATTCACCCACTCTTTGTCTTTTGGTTGGGGAATTTAAACCATTTACATTTAAGATAATTACTGATTGGGAAAGACTGTTACTATTTTGTTAATTATCTTCTGTGTTTTAGTTCTTTCGCCCCTTTACCTCTCTTGCCATCTTCCTTTCTGTTTCATTGATTTTTTTTTTCATACTGATATGCTTTTATTCCTTTCTATTTTTCTTTTCTGTACCTTCTTTTTAAAAAATATTTATTTATTTATTCGAGAGAAAGATAAAGTGAGTGTGAGGTGGGGAGGGGCAGAGAAAACAGACTCCATGCTCAGTGCAGAGCCCAATGTAGGGCTCGATCTCAGGACCTTGAGATCATGACCTGAGCTGAACCTGAGTCAGATGCTTAACCAACTGTGGCACCCAGCCACCCCAATCTTTTGAGTATCTTCTATAGGTATTTTCTATGTGTTACCATGGTGCTTATATAAAGTTTTGTTTTAACAATCTATTTTAAACTTTTAGCAACTTCAATCATATACAAAATATCCATTTTTTTTCTTTTTTAGTTTTTTAAAGATCTTATTTATTTATTTGAGAGAGAGAGAGAAAGTGAGAGAGCACAAGCAGGGGGAGTGGCAGAGGAGCAGGAGAGGCAGGCTTCCTGCTGAGCAGGGAGCCTGACAAAGGGCTTGATCCCAGGACGCTGGGATCATGACCTGAGCTGAAGGCAGATGCTTTAGCTGACTGAGCCATCCAAGCACCTCAAAAAACTCTATATTTTTATTTCTCCCTTCATACACACTTTGTTACTGATGTTATAATTTATACCTTTTTATAGTGTGTATCTATTAACATATCTTATTATAGTTATTTTAATAACTTTAATAACTTTTAATAACTTTAATAACTTTTATTATTATATATATATCTTTTAACTTTTTAAAAAAGATTTATTTATTTATTTATTTATTTATTTATTTATTTGACAGGCAGAGATCACAAGTAGGCAGAGAGGCAGGCAGAGAGAGAGGAAGCAGGCTCCCCACTGAACAGAGCAGAGCCTGATGCAGGGCTCAATCCCAGGATCCTGGGATCACGACCTGAGCTGAAGGCAGAGACTTTAACCCACTGAACCACCCAGGTGCCCCAACTTTTTTTTTTTAAGGATTTTATTTATTCATTTGACAGAGAGAGACACAGGGAGAGAGGGAACACAAGCAGGGGGAGTAGGAGAGAGAGAAGCAGGCCTCCTGCTGCCCCCACGCCCCGGTAATCATCAGTTTGTTCTCTACCATTAAGAGTGTGTTTCCTGGGCGCCTGGTTGGATCAGTTGGTTGGACAACTGCCTTCAGCTCAGGTCATGATCCTGGAGTCCTGGGATGGAGTCCCACATCAGGCTCCCTGCTGGGCGGGGAATCTGCTTCTCCCTCTGACCACCACTCCCCTCTTGTGCTCTCTCTCTCTCAAATAAATAAATAAAATCTTTAAAAAAAAGAAACAAGTTTGCTTCCTGGGGTACCTGAATGGCTCGGTTAGTTAAGCATCTGCCTTTGGTTCAAGTCATGATTTCAGGGACCTGCAATCATGCCCTCATCAAGCTCCCTGCTCAGTGGGGAGCCTGCTTCTCCCTCTCCCTACTGCTTATATTCTCTCACTATCTCTCTCTCTCTCAAATAAAAAAATCTTATTTAAAAAATTTGTTTCTTGGTTTTTTCCCCTTTGCTCTTTTTGTTTCTTAAATTCCACATATGAGTGACAGCATATGGTTTGTCTTTCTCTATTTTACTTAGCTTTATACTCTCTCGCTCCACCCATGTCTTTGCAAATGGCAAAGAATAAAAAATTATTTTTATAGCTGAATAATACTCCATGATAGTGTTGCTGATTACAGTATTCTTGGTTGACAGTTTCTTTTCTTTCATCACTTTAACTGTATCTGTACAGTTCGGCCACCAATGTTTCTGCTGAGAAATCCATCGATAGTCTAATGTACATATCAAGCTGTTTTCTATTTTGCTTTTGTATTACTGCTTTTAAAATTCTTTGTCTTTCACTTCTGATAATTTGATTATGAGTTCCTGTGTGGATTTTTTTGATTTGCTTATTCTGAGATTCACTGGGCCTCCTAGGTCTGCATTTCCTTCCCCAGATTTGGGAATTTTGCAGCCATTATTTCTATAAATAAATTTTCTGGCATGTGCTCTTTTTCCCTTTTCTTCCTTCTACCTGCATTCTCTTTCTCCTCCCCTCACCCACCACCGCCTCCCTTTTCCCCCCTCTTCCTTCTCTTTCTTTTATCCCTCCCTTCTTTCTTTCCCTCCCTCATCTCTTCTCCCTCTGGGACCCCTATGAAGTATAAATTGCATGTTTCATTGTGTTCCATGAGTCTCTTAAGCTTTCCTCACACAATGTATTTGTTGTTAGTGGCCAAGAGTCATCTAGAATATACCAGGTCCCATTAGCACTCTGAGACAGATGAGACAGAAGCCATTCCCTTAGGCAGCACTCTGAAACAGTCACAAGAGTAGCCAATCCTTTGGGAAGCTCCTGGGAAATTTGCATTTCACACACAGTTCAGTCCTTTTTTTCCCTCCCGAGGGAGAAGCTGGGACCTGGTGGTTTCCTGCCAATTGTGTGGCAATGTGCTATGAGTGGGGATTATGGTGAGAGAGTGTCTTGAATTTTCCTACTGGCTTTGATGTGGCTGGTCTCATACATGCCTTGGGTATAAGAGTCCCTTGACTAGCTTCTAGATTTCTCACAAAAGGAATAAGTCCATGTATTACTGTTGAATTGGTGTGTCTATGGGGGAAGGAGGAGCCAGGGCTTCTTATTCCAACATTTTGCTGATATCATTTCCATATTTTCCTTTGTTCTGATCTCTATGTTTTATGTTAGAAACTTTTCTCAGAGGTCTGGTGATTCTTGGCTCTCTACTCATATTTAAGAGAGGGCTGTAAGAGGCTAACTGGGATTTCTGTGGCCTAGTTGGGGTTTCTCACAAGTTGACTTAATTTTAGGGTGTTCTTGTCAGCTTCACTGAAGGGCTACTGAGGTCAATATCATTAGATATTTTCTTTAGGGTTGCTCAGATTTGTTAGGAAAGAATCTTCCATTCTCCTGCCTGAAATGTTCAAGTCTGGATGCTAGTATTCTGGAAGCTGAACAGAAAAAGGGAATGTTGGGTTGGTGAGGGAACAGGCATTAGGTGAGAAGGTACAACAATTCATAATGTACACTTCATTTAATTTCCTCTCTACTTCATTCTGTACAGTCTCTGAAACAGTTGGCTTTTTCTATGTAATAAATAACCCTCAAATCTCATTGACATAAAATGAAAGCATTTATTTCTTATTCCCATGTCTACAGATTGGTTCAACCAGGTCTGCTTCAGATTACATTTCTGCTGATATGCTGGGGCAGCTCTCTGCAATCTACAGATTGCCTGGGACTGTTCTGTTCCATAACTCTCATTCTGGGGTCCCCACAGGAGAAGCTGAAGCTAATTAAGATATATTCTTCTCACAATGTTAAAAGTATAAGAGGACAAGTCCACCCATTTAGGCATATTTCAAAGATCTGCTTATGTTTCATTCACTGATATCCTACTGCCCAAAGCAAGTCATATTTCCATTGCTTTTCCAGAGCCAAAGAGGGAGAGAGTACACTCTACCCACTGCAAGGATATGGCAACAATGTGGCTATATAATATTACTACAGGGGAATGAGTATTTGGGACCAACATTTCAAAATATCACAGATCCTTGTTTTTAACAGTGCTTAGTATCCTATAGGCCAAAGTTCCTCTGTTTCAAAACACCCCAAAGAGTAAATCTCTAAGTTCCATTTGAGTAAGAAAGTAGTCACCACATCTTTCACATTTCAGACATACCTTTTTACAAGTACTGGTGCAGCCAAATTGTGAGCTTCTCTGGGATACTACAGATCAAACTGGCCTGTTTCGGGGGCATTCCCCTAATATCTTCATCCTTTTCTTGTCTGGTAGCTTTTAATGAATAGTCCTATGTGATCGAGCATGGAATGCAGTAGTGGACTGGGGAAGGAGGTTTAGTTGAGGAAGACAAGCATACCTTCTCAAGAGGAATATTATTTGTGAACAAAGGAACAATTTCTATATGGGTCAGCTTAAGGTTGAGAGTATTTTCTTACCTAAAGAATCTGATCCTCTGAAGAGTTCAGGTGATGAGAAACTGCTTAAACTCTCTCCAAAACTCTTGTGTTCTGTGAAAGAGTCTGTGAATGAATAGCTCAGAAGAGAACTAGAAATACCATGCTGCAAAGTTAGTCCTATAAAATAAACAAAGGAAAAGGGTAAAATGTTTCAATAGTAAATAGACTCAGAATCCTAGGAATTCATATTTGTAGAAACATATATGCAATTATATAGAGAGAATGTAAAATTACTTATACAAACAACTGAAAAGGCATACTGTTGCACACCACTTTCACTTCAATCTTAGATAATAATTCTGGCTTTGATGTAGAGAAACCATTATAATCTTTTTCCATTGCTTTACCAAGTTTCATAATTTATTTCTTCCCTTCCTTCAGTTAAGTTGTGATTTTTGATTCCAAAATGCAAGTTTTACATATAAGTAACCCATAATTGTAAACTAATTAGCTGAGAAGGAAAAGTAACTCTAGTTAGTCCATTTAAAAAACAATGAGCTTAAACAAATAGATCAAAGGAATTCAACAGAAAGCCCAGAAATGTAACAGTTATACGAGCAACTGATTTTTTACCAAGATGCAAAGGCAATTCAGTGGAGAAAGGACACTGTTTTAAACAAATTATCTTGAAGGAACTGCGTACCTATATGCAAAAGCAAAAGAAAACAAAAAACTTGCATTCATACCTTCCATCAGATAAAAATTGGGTCATTGACATAAATGTAAATCCTAAAAATACAAAGGTTCTAGAAAAAAAAAAGCAGAGGAGAAAATCTTCATGACACTGAGGTAGGCAAAGATTTCTTCTAACACTAAGATTAACAATAACTATAGCAATGATCATTAAACTTCATAAATTTAAAACTTCTCTTTGAAAGAGACTGTTAAAAGAAAAAGACAAGCCACAGATTGACAGAAAACAACTGCAAATAGATTGGAATCCAAAATATAAATAATTTTGAAGACTCAATAATAAGAAAACAAACCTTTCAATAAGGGGCAAAATATTTGAACAGAGAATCTTCCAGACTAAGAAGTCTTTAAAGTTATCCCTGTGAGAATGAACTACAGTGAAGAACTTTCACATAAATGAAAGGGAAAGAAATTAATACCAAAACTTAACAAACAGGTTTAGTAAAAAAAGGGAAAATGTAGTCTTCTCTAGTCAGCATTTATTAAACACTTTCAACTGAAAAGATAGATGTTAACACTAAATAAAAACTGGCAGGGTGTTGGGAGGGTTAGGGATAAAAGGGGAGCATGACTCTCATAAATTTATTCCTGCGGGGGCACTGAATTATAGCCCATCTCTCCTCATCCGTTACCTACCTGAGACAACTAGCTCTGTCCTTCCTACATTGACCTTACCACATCTTTCTCTTCCACTCCAACATCATTCTTAAAGTTGACAATTATTTCCAATCTGGCCCCCTCTTCTAACCACCATTCAACACTTAAATTGATTGACCCAATCAAATCTCTTTACCACATCAGATGTCATAGGTAGGTTGATCATCTTTTGCTTCTCTTACTCCGAGTGCCCCAGAGTATCTTGTCCCTGTCCTCGCTTCTTAGTCTTCTCACTCCGTCTTCATCCTTCCCCTCTCACATGTTGTTACATCTCTCTTGCCTTCCAGTTTTCAAAATTCCATGAACACCACACACAGAGTAGAACCATCCCTTCCACCAAACCCCAGAACTCAAGCCAGGTTTAGAAATTAGGAAAACCCCATGCTCACCATCTGGGTAGTTGGGTAGAGAAAAGAATATATAAATATTCATGATTATAGCAGTGGAAGGATGTTTCTGGAGTCACAGGTTAGAAATGTAAATGCACTTAAAGTTATATTTATGTCAGCTTATACTATATATATACTTTTATTAAGTCAACTTGTTCTATAAGGCTTGTAACCAAAACGGCAATCTGTTGTCTCATACCACCCCATAATCCCCTAATCTCCAGAGTCAACTATTTTTAACTACTAGCTGTTTCTTCTAACACTCCCTTTATATTTCTAAATTAAAATGTGTTCAACAATTCTATTATTATGCCTGCTCAAATATATTTATACCGAAGCCATATACTATGAGCTATAGACAGATCCTTTTGCTACAAGTTGTTTTTTTTTTCAATTACTGATTACTCAATTTTAAAATTAGTTTTCTGGGTGCCTGGGTGGCTCAGTCGGTTAAGTGACTGCCTTCAGCTCAGGTCATGATCCCGGAGTCCTGGGATCGAGTCCCGCATCAGGCTCCCAACTCCACAGGGAGTCTGCTTCTCCCTCTCACCTTCTCCTCGCTCATGCTCTCTCTCACTGTCTCTCTCTCAAATAAATAAATAAAATCTTAAAAAATAATAATAATAAAATAAATAAATAAATAAAATTAGTTTTCTAAGTACCTATCACTATTCTGTCACAAATATTTACAAAATTATACATCTCTTCTCAATACTTAAAAAATTCCAAGTTATCTATCAGTTCCTTTCTTTTTTCTTTTCTTTTTTTCTACCCTCATTCCCCCTTTCTCCTCTTTCCTTCCCCCCGCCTTTTTTAAAGAAGTACTGCTATTGAAGCTCTCAATTCACTTGCTCAAATTCAGACCTCTTGTCCTCTAGACATGATGCACAGGTGTCTTCTTGGAATTCCCCTTTTACCATTATCCTAAGAAATTCTTTCTGAATCTTAAGAAAGTCAATCAGATTGCCTCTGATTGCTGGATACTTTGATTTCTTCTTTATTGATTTATTCTCTAGTTTTGTTGGAGTATCTCCTTTATCTCATGAGAAAAGATGGAAGACCTGTCTAGAAATTTGCTTATACTATCTTCATGCTTGAGTAATTGTTTGGCTGGGTACAGAATTCCAGACTCGTGTATTAAAATGACTGATTTCATTTTCTAATGTTTGACAAATTTAAACCTCAGTGCTATCTCTGCCCCACATCTGGGCAAGCTGATAAGAAAGTCCTGATGTTCCATCTTTTGGCAATGGTTTCAAGTTAAAACCATGCCTGGGAAACTCCATCCTTGCCTCACTTAACACCCCTTATACTGTTTCTTCTCCCTGTTCTCTCAAGCCATTTTCAGTCCTATTTGGAAGATGCACTTCTCTCTAGAAAGTCTCATTATGTGAGTGACAAACCTTTCCTTAACCCTCTTGGTTATATGGGTGGCATCATCAGTCTTGAAATACCATCAGTCTTGAAATCTGAACCGAATTTTGCCTGGGCATCTATTCTATCTCTGCTAAATCTGTATGCTTCAGAATTTTAAATGCATTGCCCCACCATGTTCTAGCTTCTGGAGTTGCTCTTGAGAAACTCAATGCCATTCATATTCTCCATTGCTTATTTGCAATCAACAATTTTTTTCCTGGAAGACTGAAGGATTTCTCTCTTTATCCTGAGGATCTTTAAGTTACATTGTGCTGTGCTTGGTATGAGTCTTTTTTCATTCATTGTGATGGGCAGCTGGTGGGCTCTTTTGTTATATATACTCATGAGCTCTCTTAATTCTAGAAAAATGTCTAGCTTTATGTGTTCATAATTTCCTTTCTGTTTACTCTATAATGTCTGGAACTACTATTTTTCAGATGTTAGAATGTCTGAACTCATCTTCTCATTATTTTTTTAAAAGATTTTATTTATTCATTTGACAGAGAGAGATCACAAGTAGGCAGAGAGGCAGGCTGAGAAAGAGAGAGAGGGAAGCGGGCTCCCCGCTGAGCAGAGAGCCCAATGCAGGACTCGATCCCAGGACCCTGAGATCATGACCTGAGCCGAAGGCAGCGGCTTAACCCACTGAGCCACCCAGGTGCCCCATTATTTTTCTTTTTAAAATAGCAGTTTTATTGCAATAAAATTTATATTCCATAAATCTCCACCTTTTAAAGTATACAATTGAGTGATTTTTAGTATACTCACAGAATTGTGTCACCACTGCCACTATTTTTATCTTCTGATGTTAGTTTAACTTTTGGAATATTTCCTTAAATTCATCATCCAATCCTTCACAGAATGTTTTCTTTTTCTTCCTTCTTCTTCTTTTTTTTAAAGATTTAATTTATTTATTTGACAGAGAGAGACACAGCGAGAGAGGGAACACAAGCAGGGGGGAGTGGGCGAGGGAGAAGCAGGCCTCCTGCGGAGCAAGGAGCCTGATGTGGGGCTTGATCCCAGGACCCTGGGATCATGACCTGAGCCAAAGGCAGACAGTTAATGACTGAGCCACCCAGGCGCCCAGAATGTTTTCTTTTTAATTTTGTATTTGTATTATATTGTATTTGTATAAAAAAACATACAAAACTTGTGTAAATGTTTGTATAAAATTTGTACAAAAAATTGTACTATGATTGTATTTTGTATTTGTATGAAAATGATGTATTTATTTTTACTTTTGTATTTTTATTTTTTAAGAATACTTTTTGTTTTCCAACTGCTCCTTTTCATAGTAGTCCATACTTTTATCTTGGATATATATTTTCATTGTCCTGAGGATAATGAAACATGGCTTTTAAAATTTTTCCTTACTTTGCACTGTATTCTTCAAGCTTCTTTTCATTTGGTACCATTTATTTGAAATGCTTTCATTAAGTGCCTTTTAATTCTTGAATGTTCAAGAATGATGCTCTAACACATTAATTAGAAATTCTAGGTCCATGAGTGGGATTTAGGAAGTAGTGGGCTTCACAGAAGGGTATTTAAGATAGGGACCAGGTCCTTACTGTCAGAATATAGGTCTCCTTCTGGTCAGAGAAGATTCTAAAAGCAGAATCCTCCAGTCTTTTTTGAGGAGTATTTTCCCGAGTGGGGTAAGGTGGGGATAATGGGCCCAAAAGTTACACCACTAAGCATACAAACTTTAGTTAATTCGCTTCCCTCCTCCCTGAACCCCTACTACTTTTCAATATGGCATCCCTGAGTCCAGATCCTGTGCTTCAATGTATCTGGACTGCCAAGGTAGGAAAAAGAGTAATTGTCTGACCACACCATTAGGGAAGGGAGCAAAGCATTTAACCATTACTTTTAAAGATTTCTAAAAATCCTCCTATTTTCAACACTATCTGTACACATTTCTTCAGGAATATGTGATGCCTCTAATTCCTGAAACTATAGCTTGGATCAGTTTGTTTCTTCATTTGTCCTTACTTTAGGCATCTAGCTCTCAATTATTTTTTCCTTCTCTCTCAGGAAAGGGAGAAGTAAATGTCTATGTTCAATCTTCTATACTAAATATAAAGTCTTGAATTAATTTTCATCATGTTGCAAAATTAACTACATTCCAAGACAGAATTAAAATGGTTACTTATAAATTAAATAGAATTCTGTAGGCTGTTCAAAACCTAACCATTTACATTTTATTATGGGAAAAAGTATTCTAGGTTTCAAATATCAGTTGACAATGATGTCTTAGAATGCAACTAGTTTGCAAATTAGAGACAGTCTAGTCTCTATTTCCTTCTATCTTTTATCCATCAACTTGATAAATCTAGTAACCAATGACATATATTATGTATTTAAACTACAATTTAAGAAAATAATAATTATGATTAAATAGTTTATTTTCTCTAAACAGAGTATAATACTCATTCAACAAGCATTTGCAATTATATAAAGTCCCAAACATGAGATAGGAACATAAAATGTAGGGCTTATTCTCAATGGCTTTAGCGCCAAAAGTAACAAAAGCAATAATGCTACTGTTTTGAGTCCTAACAGAAGTATACAAAGAGCACCACAGAATTCCCAGGAAAGAACAACTCATGTAGGAAGAGAGAAGATGGGTCAAGAGAGTTCCCAGTAGAGACAGCACCTAATTTCTTTTTTTCCTTGAAGAACAAGTTAAACATAAAAAGAGAAGGAAGGAAATGCATTTTTTGAGCACCTTCCATGTTCTTTTGTACTATATTCCAGGAAATATTTCTCTATTCTACTTTCTAGCCAGCTAATTTGATTTTGAGTTGAATTCATTTCAATATTCGGATCATTTTCTTTTTCTTTTTTCTTTTTTTTTTTTTTTAAAGATTCTATTTACTTATTTATTTGACAGAGAGAGAGAGATCACAAGTAGGCAGAGAGACAGAGAGGGAAGGGGAAGCAGGCTCCCTGCTGAGCAGAGAGCCCGATGTGGGACTCAATCCCAGGACTCTGGGATCATGACCTGAGCTGAAGGCAGAGGCTTAACCTGCTGAGCCACGCAGGCGCCCTCGGATCATTTTCTGAGTTTTAAAATTTGATGATATTTTTAGTGTCTAGGGACTATAATTTTTGTTAAAACAGATTGTTATATTATGGATCCAGTGGTCTCTTGTCTTTATTTTTTTCAATATTTTCTTTATTTATTTAAGGGAGAGGGAACACGAGCAGGGGGACAGGCAGAGGGAGAAGCAGACTCCCCACAGAGCAAGGAGCCTGATGTGGAGCTCCATCCCAGGACGCTGGGATCATGACCTGAGCTGAAGATAGATGCTTAACGCACTGAGCTACCCAGGTGCCCCGGCCTCTTGTCTTCAAAGAGATATTTAAAGTTTTTTGCTATTTCTCAGCTGTTAAAGTTACTCTGTTTGCTCAATTTGTGGCCTCTCTTCCATGCCACTGATTTTATTCAAAGGTTTGGCTGCTCCTGGTTGTCTGTTTATATCTCTACTTGAAAATCTTTGCTTGTATAGCAGTGCATATACACTCTGAAACAGCAGCCTACTTCTGGAGACTTATGAGTGATGAGACATTCTGAGAACCTGTGTTCTGCATGGTGATGTCCTCCTGTATTTTCTGGGTATTGTAGGTTACATGGAGCACTGTCCTAATTGTCCGGATAGTGTACACACTACAAAGCTCCATTATCAGAAATTCCACTTCAGGGGCACCTGGGTGGCTCAGTGGATTAAAGCCTCTGCCTTCGGCTTGGGTCATGATCCCAGAGTCCTGGGATGGAGCCCCGCATCGGGCTCTCTGCTCTGTGGGGAGCCTGCTTCCTCCTCTCCTCTCTGCCTGCCTCTCTGCCTACTTGTGATCTCTGTCTGTCAAATAAATAAATAAAATCTTTAAAAAAAGGAAAAGAAAAGAAAAGAAAAGAAATTCCACTTCAGAGGTGCCTGGGTGGCTCAGTCGGATAAGTGTCTGCCATCAGCTCAGCTCATAATCCCAGAGTCCTGGGACAGAGCCCTATACTGGGCTCCCTGCTCAGAAGGAAATCTGCTTCTGCCCCTCTTCCTGCTCCTTCTCTCTCACATGGCCATGTTCACTCTGCTCTCTAAAATAAGTACATAAAATGTCTTAAAAAAAAAAAAAAAGAAATTCCACTTCAGAGAGTCATACTACATCTGTACCCTGGGGTTAATAAGCATAAGCATAATCTATCTCTTTCACCTTTTTATCCCACTGTGATCTTTGTGGCATTCTGCAGTTACTTCAGACTCTCTTCTGCTTCTCATTCCAGCCTCAAAATTGACACTTAGAATCCAAACCCTTAGTTCTCTTTGCTTAGGAGAGTTTCCATGGTTTATCCTGGCAGCCAGCATTGTAACTGCCAATGTTTCCAATGTAAGAAAGGGATGAGGAAGAGGAACCAGGCTACATAGTTACATAATTTAGTGTTTAATCCATCACCTTGACAATTCCTTCAGGGTCCTTTCTATTACTTTTTTTTTTTTTTTTGCATTTATTGACCAACTGTTTCAAATGTCTCTAGAGCTGTTCTTACCAAGGCAGCGGTTTTTCTGTTCTTCAAATATTCAGCAATCTGATCTCATCTGCTTTTAAGAATTCCTCAGTATTTCTGGTGTGCTGATGGCATCCTTTCTCATTTTTTAAAAAAACTTTGATTACACCAATATGTAGATGGCTCACAAATTTTCTATCAGCTTCCCTCCATATCCAATTGCTCATATGGCATTCTACTTAATCATCTTAAAAGTACTCATAACATATTAAAAACATAATTTATGAACCTTCCCTCAAACAAGATTTTTTTTTTCAGTAAATGGCACCACCTTATATCCAGTTATGCAAGCCAGAAACAGATGTCATCTTTGATACCTCCATCTACTTCATTCTTCATTTGCCAAACTCCGTCAGTTTCATTTCCTAAAATAGTCATGAGTTATGCCCACTTTGTTCCATTTCCAATGTTATCTTTTAGTACAAAGTGCCATCATTTCCCCCTAAAATAATGTATAACCCCTACCTGATCTATTTGCATCCATTCTGCTTATTTCCACACCACAGCCAAGGTGATCATATATTTTCCTAAGTAAGACTTCAGTGGCTTCTTGCTGCTACAAATACAAACACCAAAATCTTTGACATGGCCTACAATGTTATGCAAGGCCTCTGTCTGTTGAACCTTGGCTTATTACTGCATTCCCCCCTTCTCTCTGTACTACAGTCACACTGGCTTTCTTTCAGTTCAAGAACTCACAAGGCTTAGTGCCATATTAGGGTCTTTGCACATGCTGTTCCCTCTGCCTGGATGGCTCTTAACTCATCTCCTTGCACAGTTAATTTCTCCTTTTCTACCTAAGTCAATTCAATTACTATTCCCTCATGGAATCCTTCCCTAAACTTTCTAAATAAACTCAATTAGTTATACTCAAGTCAATCTCTTTTGTAGTATTTATCTCAATTTTAATTGGCTGGAGTGTGCTTGAAGGATGAGGATGAGGTCCATTGTACACATAGGATTCACCTTGGACTAGGAGAAAGACACTTCTTCCACTGAGATGGGAAGATGAGGCAAAAATACAAATGGATGCTTCTATTTGTAAGAAACAAAGCTGAGAGAGTTCACATGTGACAATCTTACCTGATACTAGCTCACTATTGGATGAACTACAGTCAACCTGGAGATCATCAGTCACTGATTCCTAAGGGAAACGAGAATTAAAGATATAGCACAAATTATGAGACTGAATATTTTCATATTATAATATTATATCACACTAGTTTGGTTATTTTGAAAATGAAAAACTAGTATCAACATTGTGTATCAGTTTCATATGTAATAGATTCTGCCAGCCTACTGATCACAGATATAATCTGATACTTAATATTAAATCTAAAAATAAATACTAAAATATAATAACATGGACATATCTACAGAGTCAGCAATATTCTAGTCAACTAACTACTGGATAAACCAGCAACTAGACATTAAAGGTGAATATTTTTCTGATCCCCTAGGCTGGAAGGGCTTTTCTTTCTCTAAATATGAAAGCAAAATAAATGAAAAGAGTGATAAGTTAAAAACCAGAAATATGATTAAAGGCAAACAAAAAAATATAAAACTATTTGTTATGTGTGTATAAAGTGTAACTATCTTCAATATATATATCAATAAGCATTTCACAAAAAACAAACACAAATAATAAAAGGAGGGGAAAAAAGTGTAAACTTTACATTCAGAAATACTGCATTCAGAGAAATGCAGTATCAAATAACATGCTACTTTTCATCTATCAAATATATGCATTTTTTTCCTTTTTCCTTTTTAAAAAAATTTAAATTAAATTAGCCAACATATAGTACATCGTTAGTTTCAGATGTCATGTTCAATAAAATATATGTACTTTTTAAGTATCAGGTAAAATGGTGCCAAGTGGCCAACATGAATCAAACTTTAAACATGATCCAACCCTTGACCCACTGCAAAGTTATTTGTCTTAGGATAAAAATTTTAAGGTGCACAAAAAACTTCTGTGGTACAACGTCCACTGATACCTAAAATGGTAAAACCTGGGAAATAATCTCAATCCTCCAACCACTGGAAAATAGTTATATAAATTACAGTATATTTATCTATAAGACAAAGCACTATTTAGACACTAAAAATCATATTTTTGAAGGCCATTTAGTGTTAGAGGAATATACAGTAAGATAACAATTTCTAAGTTGAAAAAAGAGATTGTAAAAAAAATGGAAAAAGGAATGTAAGGAAATACATAAAAATTAGAGGGAACTTTTTAAGCACTTTTTTTTTTTTTTGCATAATCTGAAACATCTACAAGGAACACTTAACACTTAAAATCCAGAGTAAAGGCCTTTTAAAAAAATGCCATTTGTTAAAAAAAAAAAAAAAGTGCCATTTGTTGAAACTGCCCACCCCCAAAACACATGTTTTAGAGAGATATATAAGCTAAAACTCTGGAACATGACTATTTAATGCTAATGGTAAATGAGTCACAAGCAATTTTTAAATTCTGTATCTCTCCAAATTACTACGTATCCTTAAAATATTGTACAGAATCCATATTAAATACAGTAAATCAAGAAGTTATATATTCTAATGGTAATGAACACTGTTACTAGCCATCAAAGGAAATTCAAATGAGAATGAAAATGGCTTTAAAATGGTTTAACTGCTACTAAACATAAGGGAGTTACTAAGAAAAACTTACAGATAGCTTTTATAGAAAATTAGTGAGTAATGGGCATTTCTCAAATCTGTGTCAATGGAAATTAAAAACAAAAAAGATACGCCCATGAATCTTCCACCAGAATTAGAAATTCAAGGCCCTGTCTAAAGAGAAAACACCAATGTTTAAAAAAACACTAGGAAGATATGCAGTCTCTATTGAACAAAATTCTTAATACACTTTAATCTGAAGGCACATCAGTTACCATTGGCCTCTGCTTTAAGTATAACCAAGGTCGGTAAGAGAAATATACATACACTCAATGGAGCAACTTTCTCATCCGGGGGCTCTTCATTAGTGCTATTTTCTTGCAGGCTTTTCTGTCCTGTAACTCTTAACTGACCGCTAACAAACAAATAACACAATTAATTTGCATGGTCTGGACTTGGCTCTCCCCTTCTCTGTTCACAGTTCACACTGTTCAGAATCTTAAAAGCTATTTGGACGTCATTAGGAAAAAGTAAAGACTCCAGTGGGTTAATTGTACCAATATTCGCTGGCGCTACAAATGCTTTCCTGAAGGTTTTATCTCACTTGCTTTTAGATAAGTTGGCAAAACTGCTCTTCAAAAAAAATTTTTTACATAAATATTTCCAGGGGCACCTGGGTGGCTCAGTCAGTTGAGCTTCCACTGAAGATTTAGGCTGAGGTCATGATCTCCTGGGTCCTGAGATCGAACTCCTGGGGCTCCGCACTTCCCAGGGAGTCGGCTTGGGAGTCTCTCTCCCTCTCTCTCAAATAAAAATCTTCCTAAAGTCAAATTTCTGGGTCTATGTTCCAACAGCAGCCAAACAGTAAATAGTATTATAGTCATTTCTTCCTTGACACTTAGAATGAGGGCCTATAGGCAGAAAAGGAGGACTAAAGTTTTGAGGAGACAGAGGGCACAGGTTTGGCACTAGTGGTTTACGCACCTCGGTGGCCTAGAACCGCTAACTCCCTGCCCACTGCACTCTGCTTTCTCTGAGATCTTCTGCAAACGATGTGCTTTCCCTTTCAAACCTAAGAGAGGACGACATATTTCAGGGCAAAGCCCTGGAAGGAGGCTTGCTGCCCTCGGGTGTCCCTGGGCTGAGGACTAGTCACCCCCGCCCTTGTGCTCGCCCACCCTGGGCCCTTCTCCGCAGGCCTTGTCAGCTGGGGCTTACGGTGCGCAGAGTGCCTTCTGCCTGGACCTGGGGGGGCCTCTACTTTCGCGGTGGGGCCTAGGTCCAGCGTCGGGGTTAGGTTGAGCCTCTGGCCGGCCCGCTTCTTGCGGGTATACACCCGTAGTGACCACATTGCCACCTAACCCCCAAGGCCTCAGGGACCTCTTGGCCCTTCACAGCCTGTCTCTTAGCCTTCCGGAGGAAACAATCTACAGTCTGAGTGAGCCACCGTCCGGGCAACGTAGCTGCCTGCGGAATAGAACGACAGGAGCGGGACGAAGAGATAAAATCCTACAGCACCAACGCCTGACTGACTGGAGCCTGCCGGGCGCTCCCGCCCTTTTTTATCTTGACCAAGCCGCGCGATAGCTTCTGGGAAGCGGAGTAACGGGGAAGAGGCTCCGCCCCCTGAAGACGGCCCCGCCTCCCCGGGGGCGTAGCGTCGGGGTATCTGGCAGTGGGCGCACAGGGTTGCCGACTGGTGGTACAGACTCACTCGTTTCTCGCCTGAAGGTAAGCTTATGGGGAAAAGGCTTTTCGTCGTCCAGGAGGTTGCTCCTCTGCATTTTATTTTTTCCTTGGTGTGATGAGTCTGTCACGTGATGCTACGGATGGCTCAGCCCGTCTCCCTGTAACATTGCGTTAAAGCCCTGGTAATAACAGTGTTGGGGTCTGAACATAGGGAATCTAGCGGGGGTGGGGGGTAGAGGGGGACCGGGCGGTGGTGGGGCGTCACCTGACTCAGTGCGGGAAGATCAGACGGGAACAAAAGTACATTAAACCAGTAGAGAATATCCTCCTGAGCAATGAGCTTCAGTCCCCGGGCCATGGTATTTGAGCATTCGAAGATCTTGTTTCCAGGATATTTCTTCTTAAGGATAGTGTAATCCCTTAGCCCCTGTCCAGGAGCTGTCTCTGGACATCTGGGCGGCCTTATGGTCAAGGTAGAGAATTTCTTACCTCCTGCTGTCTTGGGGCTTGGCGCGTTTGCTGGGCATCATTGCAGGAACGTGGGAATTACCTTTCTCAATCCATACACTGTGGTTGAACCATCTGGCTGCATCTGATGAACATATTGTGCACACAGTAACCATCTTCCTATTTTTAAAAATGACATTTCACAACATTAAAAATGCATTTGTAGAGGTAAAATTACAAAAACTCCAGACTTTTTTTGTGATGCTCCAATAGTGTATATGTGTGACTATAGCACATATACAGCCACAATATTTTCATAATGAAATCACTCTGAATTTTTTTAAATTTAAAATAGGCTCATAGAAAGTCACGACAGTTGATTCAATATATAAGTAATCATTAAAACTTAGTTTTCAAGAATAGAAGGTGGGTAGTCTTACCTAATTTGATACAGTGCTTTGAGTCCCTGAATCAATACTTACTCAGCACCTTAGTCTGTGTTAGACATGGTGGTAGGTCCTGGGGATACAGAGGTGTCCTTCAGTCTAGGATCTCATAGTGTTTTTGCAGTACAAAGCAATTCTCATATTTCAACCTCCTTTCTTTAGTTATATCCATAATATGCTGATAGGCAGTCTCTAGTTTACAAGTCAGGTCTCCAGGCTCTCCTCTCTCCTTTTGGGGGCTGTTGTGAAAAAAACTCGGAGCTCTTAAATGACCTGTGGGAGGTCTGGGTTCTTCCATGCCCTTTACCTAGAAATGGAAGAAACAATGAAAAAGGAAAGCAGCTTAAAGCAAAAGCTGATCTGTGCTTTGGTGGCCCTATAGAGGTCTGTCTCACTCACTGGTCTGCATTTACTGAAATGCCATCAAGTAAAGATTCGTAGGAGTTAATACATAGGGTTTCAAAACTGGAAATAAACTTATGAATGATTTTTTGAGCCAAAAGAGGTCCTTGGAGATAATCTAGTTGCCTCCTCATTCTGCAGCTGAGTAAACTACAGCCTAGGGAGGCTCATTATGACTGATGATTGGCATAGGTGGCATGAGTCTGCTGGCATTTGCCTAGTGTGTTTGTCATGACCCCATTCTTCCTAACACATGGCTGGGCAGTGGGTAGAGGGAGCAAGGAAGGGAGTTTGAAGCCCTGGGCAGCAAGGGGATTAAAGAGACTACAGACAGACTTGGTTTTTTTAAAGCTTCACCCAGAACCAGGCTATAAAAGGGAAGGAGATGTGTCCCATACAAAAGGATGAGGTAGGGCAGACACATCTCAATTCAATTATCTGTCTGTCTCCCCCATTCTACCCCAAATACACAAATGCCAGTGCAAGCATTCATCTTTGAGTGTTAAACTGAACTTCTCCCATGTCCCTTTGCACTCCTTCCATATCTAGACTCAGGATTCTGCTCTCTGTTTCAGTTCAGTTATGTTATGGATTTGACTAGGTTTGGAGCAGTTACGGAGTGGCAAACTTTCATGGGAAAACAAATTCCAAATTTTGAAGAGATTTCAGAAGAAATATTTTTGTTTTTGTTTTTTAAATAGCCTGTCTGTGGCTTTAGGATTCCCAGGAGCTCAGAGGAAATCTTTCTGTATTTTTTATGGAGTGACCGACCCACTTTTGTTTGTGGTTCTATCCATAGGTTTCAAGGTGCAACTGACAACCAGTTTATTTTTATTTTTCTTTACTTGACAAGAATGAACAAAACCACAGTGATAGATGAAACATATCCTCAAGGGATTGCGATCTTAATGCATATGTACATTATGCATGAATGTATGAAAAAGAACCAAGGGGATTTTTCATAAATGAATATTTCTTTTCTAATTTTATTTTTTATTTTTTTATTTTTTAATTTTTTAAAAATATTTTTATTTATTTATTTATTTGTCAGAGAGAGGGAGAGCGAGAAAGCAAGCACAGGCAGGCAGAGGCAGAGGGAGAAGCAGGCTCCCTGCTGAGCAAGGAGCCCTATGTGGGACTCGATCCCAGGACGCTGGGACCATGACCTGAGCCGAAGGCAGCTGCTCAACCAGCTGAGCCACCCAAGCGTCCCTAATTTTATTTTTTAAAAAGATTTATTTATTTCAGGGAGAGAGATAGAGATCACAAGAGAATGTACAAGCAGGGAGGAGAGGGAGAAGCTGACTCCCAGCTGAGTAGGGAGCCCGACATGGGGCTTGATTCCAGGACCCTGAGATCATGACCAGTGCCAAAGGCAGACAATTAACTAACTTGAGCCACCCAGGTGCCCCTAAATGGATATTTCTTGAGCATCCGCTATGGACCAGACCTTCTGCACTGGGGCTACAACTTGAGGTAACTCACAGTGGGAGTGGGAGTGGGGCAAAGGGAATCTTCTAAGATAAAAGAATAGCTGAGCTGTTTTAAGAGCTGCATGGTGGAAGTTAGCAGAGGGATTAAAGGCTATGGCATTCTATGAAAAGGGGACTCTATGTGCCACATGGAGGCACAGAAAAGCATGAAGCTTTTAGGACACTACATTAAGTAGCTAGTATGACTGGAGCCCAGGCTCTATGGGGGAAGGGCAAGAGAAGAGATGCTAGGTCTTGTGTGCTGGAACAGGGAGTCTGAACTTTATCCTGGAAACTATGGGAAGTCATCAAAGGAATATTAATCAGGAGAGTGGTGTGACCAGATTTTCAATTTAGAAAGATCACACTGACTGAAATGTGGGTGGTGAAATTTAAGGAAGCTGGGGTGGAAACAGGAAGACTAATTAAGAAAGAGCAGTAATGGGGGCGCCTGGGTGGCTCAGTGGGTTAAAGCCTCTGCCTTCAGCTAAGGTCATGATCTCAGGGTCCTGGAGCCCTGCATTGCATCGGGCTCTCTGCTCAGCAGGGAGCCTGCTTCCCTTCCTCTCTCTGCCTGCCTCTCTGCCTGCTTGTGATCTCTGTCTGTCAAATAAATAAAATCTTAAAAAAAAAGAAAGAAAGAAAGCAGTAATATTCCAGACAAGAGATGAGAATGGCCCCAACTATACTAACAGCTTTGAGAATGGAGGGGTAGGCAATAGCAAATCTGTAGAGAAGGCAGAATCTGCATAACTACGGCACACAGTAAGAAATTGTAACCATTAGTTTGTATATGGGTAAAAGAAATTGTAGAAATGTTGTTTAAGATGTATTACAGTGGAAAATTTGAATACAGGTATTTGTTCTTTTAAAAGTATAAAAATTATTTAAATTCAGGACACATAAAAATCCAGGACACATTTGGTAAAAGGAAATGTGCAAAGCAAAGGAGAGAGTCTCTGGGTGGGGACTGTAATCTGAAGTCTGAGGATCCTTAAAAAGAATGCAGAGTATCCTGACTAGTGTGATAAAGCTCTATACAATGTTTACAGTTATCAATGACTATTAATATGCTAACTACAGGGATTATGTTATATAAATATATAAAATAGTAATTATAAGCAGCTTTGAGAAATGAAAAAATCTTTATTTTTTACAAAAGTTTTCATAAATGCATTTTATATTTGATAGGCATGCTATTATAACAAAGCAACTAAAAATATAATTACAGTTAAGATACTTCTATGCATATTTAAAAAGTAATTTTTAATCTCAATTTTTAAAAATTGTAAGTAGAATAAGCAATTCTTCAAAAAATATCCATTTCCTCCTGTCTCATGCAATTGTTGCAAGTGACTTAACAAGGAAAATTAATGAGTCAAATGAATGTCTAAAAGCCACTGTCACCTCAACAGAACCTTTTCAGTTTGGGACAAGGTTTAGAAATGCTTGTATTCCAGGTATTTATCTATTGCCTCTGGGTTATGACCATACATTGTTCTAACTGGAGAGTTCCTCCTTTAGGGCTTTGTCCTCCTTGAATGCTAATCTCATTCTCACTGCAGTTAGAATCATAGAAAGGACTGTGTGCATACTTGAGAAAAAAATTCAGACTATCAGGTTTGTTTTCTTTTCATGTTTATGCTTCCTTAAAATAAAAACAGGCAAGAAAATACAGCAACTTAATTCAACATATAATTTATCAATTTTATATACGATTATTCATTCTTCTTTTTTCCTGAGATATGAAGCAAGTTTGTAAGTAGTGTGTTTTCATGCAAAAAATACATTTTTCCATTGTTTACATTCATTTCATAGTATTTGGTATTCTAAATAACTATATCACCTTTGTGCTTTGTACATTTGGAAAATAGAGAATAATTCATTTTCTTTACTGCAGAAAAAATAAAAGATGATCAGTTCGTTGATGGGTAATACAGCCAAATTAAGTGGTACCTTCAAGTCGCTGAAACATTACCTGACTATAAAAGTTGCAATGCAAAGTCCTATTTTTTTTCTCATGCTTGCAGGTTTACTTAAATTTATAATGAAATTT